GAGCTGCAAAGAGGAGGCTGTGGCTCAGTGGAAGAGCCTCTGCCTGGCATGCAGAAGGTCCCAGGTTCAGTCCCCGGCATCTCCAGTAGGAAGGACCAGGCAGGAGGTGATGGGAAAGACCTCAGCCTGAGACCCTGGAGAGCTGCAAAGAGGAGGCTGTGGCTCAGTGGAAGAGCCTCTGCCTGGCATGCAGAAGGTCCCAGGTTCAGTCCCCGGCATCTCCAGTAGGAAGGACCAGGCAGGAGGTGATGGGAAAGACCTCAGCCTGAGACCCTGGAGAGCTGTAAAGAGGGGCTGTGGCTCAGTGGCAGAGCATCAATCCCCAGCATCTCCAGTAGGAAGGACCAGGCAGGAGGTGATGGGAAAGACCTCCGCCTGAGACCCTGGAGAGTTGCAAAGAGGGGCTGTGGCTCAGTGGCAGAGCCTCTGCCTGGCATGCAGAAGGTCCCAGGTTCAATCTCCAGCATCTCCAGTTAAAAAGGACCAGGGAGGAGGTGATGGGAAAGACCTCAGCCTGAGACCCTGGAGAGCTGTAAAGAGGGGCTGTCGCTCAGTGGCAGAGCATCAATCCCCAGCATCTCCAGTAGGAAGGACCAGGCAGGAGGTGATGGGAAAGACCTCCGCCTGAGACCCTGGAGAGCTGCAAAGAGGGGCTGTGGCTCAGTGGCAGAGCCTCTGCCTGGCATGCAGAAGGTCCCAGGTTCAAGCCCCAGCATCTCCAGCTAAAAGGACCAGGCAGTGGGTGATGGGAAAGACCTCAGCTTGAGACCCTGGAGAGCTGCTGCCCGTCTGAGTAGACCATACTGACCGACAGACCAAGGCTCCGATTCAGTGTAAGCCAGCTTCATACGGTCCGGAGTCCCCTCCAACTCAGTGGAAGAGCCTCTGCTTGGCACACCGAAGATCCCAGGTTCAATCCCCAGCATTTCCAGTGAAAGGACCAGGCGGTGGTGGTGGTGGAAGGTTGTCATCAAGTCACAGCCAATTTACGGGGACCCCTTGTGAGGTTTTTATGGGAAGAGACGGGCAGAGGTGGTTCGCCATCGCCTGCCTCTGTGCAGCAACTCTGGGCTTCCTTGGTGGTCTCCCATCCAAGTAGTAACCAGGGCCGACCCTGCTTAGCTTCCGAGGTAGCCTGGGCTATCCAGGTCAGGGCCATTTTGATTTATGGGGGTGGGAAGCTCCGTCAAGTGGCAGCTGGTTCATGGTGACCCCAGAGGGTTTTCAAGGCCAGAGACCGACTTCCTCGGGGGTCTCCCTTCCAAATACTAACCAGGGCCGACCCTGCTTAGCTTCCCTGACCCAATGAGATCGGGCTAGCCTGGGCCATCTGGGTCGAGGCAACTAGGCCGTAGGTGATAAGAAAGAAATTTGGTGCAGAAGTATGGTGCAGTGGTTAAGACTCTAATCTGGGAGAACCGGGTTTGATTCTCCACTCCTCCACATGCAGCTGCTGGTGTGACCTTGGGTCAGTTACAAGTGCCAGCTTGGTGTAGTGGTTAGGAGTGCGGACTCTAATCTGGGAGAACCGGGTTTGATTCTCCACTCCTCCACATGCAGCTGCTGGTGTGACCTTGGGTCAGGTACAAGTGCCAGTTTGGTGTAGTGGTTAGGAGTGCGGACTCTAATCTGGGAGAACCGGGTTTGATTCTCCACTCCTCCACATGCAGCTGCTGGGGTGACCTTGGGTCAGTTACAAGTGCCAGTTTGGTGCAGTGTTTAGAAGTGCGGACTCTAATCTGGGAGAACCGGGTTTGATTCTCCACTCCTCCACGTGCAGCTGCTGGTGTGACCTTCGGTCAGTTACAAGTGCCAGTTTGGTGTAGTGGTTAGGAGTGCGGACTCTAATCTGGGAGAACCGGGTTTGATTCTCCACTTCTCCACATGCAGCTGCTGGATGACCTTGGGCAAGCCAAAGTTCTGACAAGAGCTGTCCTTGAAAAAGAGCAGTTTCTGTCAGAGCTCTCTCAGCTCCACCTGCCTCACAGGGTGTCTGTTGTGGGGAGGGGAAGGGAAAGGAGTTTGTAAGCTGCTCTGAGACTCCTCCAGGTAGTGAAAAGCGGGGTATAAATCCAATCTCTTCTCTTCTCTGCCTGAGAACCTGGAGAGCCACTGCCAGTCTCAGTAGACAATACTGACCTTGGTGGACCGAGGGTCTGATTCTGTATAAGGCAACTTCATGCGGGCTGGAGTCCACTTCTGCAGGTGCAAGATGTGGATTCTCGGTGGGCCGACCTTTTATGCAGGAGCTTCGAAAGAAACGTCCCGCTCCATCAGCGGTGCCCTCTTTGCAAGCAGAGGTGCCCCAGGGGAACAGACAAACTGAAGTAGGAAGAGCGAATGTCCTACAGCACCTTAAAGACTGACTGGTTCTGTGGCAGGATATGAGTCCAGTAGCACCTGGGCCGTGGTGCCTCAAGTGGTTAAGATGAACCAAAATGAATGTGAAATACTTAGTCCTGTTGGGAAATGGTATCCCATTATTGAAAAACTCACATTTGACGACTTTGATTGGAAAACTATTTATAACGCAAAGTATAAATTGTTATTATTGGGTTAAGGTAACTACGACCTTTATGGCCTTGTTCTGTGAAACCTTTATTTACAGGTATATTTGAAAGTTTAGGTAGGATATGTGGATTACTGTAACTGTCACTGTTTGTTGTTACTCTTTGTGATTGAAAACAAATAAATCGTTCTGGTTAAAAAAAAAAGTGGTTAAGATGCTTAGCTGCAGACCAGAAGGTCGGTAGTTTAGCAGTTCGAGACCCGAGTGTGCCGCATGACGGAGTGAGCTCCGGTCTCTAGTTCCAGCTCCTGCCAACCTAGCAGTTTGAAAGCAAGAAATGGCAAGTAGATAAATAGGTACCGCTTCGGTGGGAAGGTAACAGCATTCCGTGCGCCTCGGCGTCTAGTCATGCCAGCCACGTGACCACGGAAATGTCTTCGGACAGCGCTGGCTCTTCGGCTTGGAAATGGAGATGAGCACTGCATCCCTCGAGTCGGATTCGACTGGCTTTCGAGCAAGGGAGACCTTTACCTTTTAGCACCTGAAAGACTAACAATACTTGTGGCAGATATTAGATTTCGTGAGTCACTGCTCACTCCTTCCCTCTAAGCTGAGTCAGTGTGAGCTAGCTCATAGTTTTTTAGCCCATGGGCTCACACATTTTCGCCTTCGCTCAGGAAGGAGGGCTCCAGAGCAAACTGATTTATGCAGCAGCCAAATCGCTCACTCACAACTTTAATGCCAGTAGCTCAGAAAGTAGAATATTTGCTCACAGGACTCCGCAGCTTAGAGGGAGCTCTGATTCTCACAGGTCTCCCTCTCATACCAGCAAAGCAACAACAGTACCAGATACGGTTGCCAGCTCTGGCGTGGGAAATACCGGGAGATTTTAGAGGGGGAGAGCGGGGTTTGGGGAGGGGAAGAAGAAGAAGAGACTGGATGTATACCCCGCCCTTCACTACCCAAAGGTGTCTCAGAGCAGCTTACAATCTCCTTTCCCTTCCCCTCCCCACAACAGACACCCCTGTGAGGTAGGTGGGGCTGAGAGAGCGCTTGACAGAAACTGCCCTTTTTTTGAAGAACAGCTCTTATCAGAAGTACGGCTTGCCCAAGGTCATCCAGCAGGTGCAAGTGGAGGAGTGGGGAATCAAACCCGCTTCTCCCAGATTAGAGTCCGTGCACTTAACCACGACACCAAACTGGTGTGTGAAGGAAGGAAGGAAAAGACTCTTGACTTCCCTGGTGGTCTCCCATCCAAGTACTAACCAAAGAAAGGTGGTTTCCCATCTAGAAGAAGAAGAGTTTGGATTTGTACCCCAGCCTTCACTGCCCAAAGGAGTCTCAGAGCGGCTTACAAACTCCTTTCCCTTCCCCTCCCCACAACAGACACCCTGTGAGGTCGGTGGGGCTGAGAGAGCTCTGACAGAAAGGGCCCTTTTTCAAGAACAGCTCTTATCAGAACCACGGCTTGCCCAAGGTCAACCAGCCAGGTGCAAGTGGAGGAGTGGGGAATCAAACCCGGTTCTCCCAGATTAGAGTCTGCGCACTTAACCACTGCACAAAACTGGAAGGGCTTTAGTGCCGTAGAACCTACCTTCCAAAGCGGCCAGGTGAACTGATCTAGGTCACCTGGAGATGAACTGCAACAGTGGGGGGAGCACCAGCCGCCACCTGGAGGTTGGCAACCGTACCAGAATGGGGGGATGCGGTGGCGTGAGCGAGCTGGGGGGTTTTGTGCCCTGTGCCAAGGGGCTGGACTAGACGACAATGGGGCTCCTTCCACCTCTGTGTTTCTGTGTCCCTTGCGACCAGGGCCGGCTCCAGCTTATTTTGCACCCTAGGCGAGGATCCCTTATGCCCTCCCCCCCCCCTGCGCCCACCAATTTTAAAAAATAAATGCATTTTAGGAAGAATAAAAAACACAAATAATCAAGAAACTCCCAGAGTAAGGGGCCGGGTGGAGTTTGGTGGCCCTAAGGGCCGTCCCGCTCTAGGCGATCGCCTAGTTTGCCTAGTGAGTGAGCCGGCCCCTGCTTGCGACTGGGGTTTGTCTGACTGGCAAGATTTGAACGTCTGAAGGGGAGCCGGATCAGCTGGGCCCCGCTGAGTTCCCCGTTGCACCTCTCCAATCCGCGGACATGTGCAAAGCCAGAGCTTCCCCGAGATTGACAGAGGCCCAAGGGGTGGGACATCCCTTTTGCAAATTCCCAGGACGGAGGGGAGGGGAGGGGGGGGGAAGGAGGTGCTTGGTCTCCCTCGATTGACAGGCGGCCGCAAGGAGTTGCCTTCCCCGATCCACGTGACTCCGGCCGGGGCTGGCAGAAAAGCCGAAGGCAGCTTGCGGGGGATATTCATTATATTCAAATCTATTCATTTTCCAGGAGCCACTGCTGAGCAGCGAGGCGCAGCGGTCGCTCCCACAGCCCCTGCACTCCCCCGGGCCGCCGCCAGCGAGAGCCAAGCGGAGCGCCTCTTCCCTCCCCCCCCGGATCGTGGCCCCTCCGCGCGAGTTTCCCCACGGCTCTCTTGCTCCACGCTGGCTGTCAAGAACCATGGACTGTTTTTATGTGCCCTGTTCGTTGTCAGTGAGTAGAGCCTTCCCCTCCTTCCCCTCGCGCTTTCGCTCCGAGCCAAATGATGGACGGTGGCTTTAAAAAGTTGTTTTAAGAGTTTTAATAAGGAGAACGCGGGCGGCGCGACCGGGGGGTGGACGATTCTCTGGCAGGGATGATTCTCTGGCGGGGACGATTCTCTGGCAGGGACGTTTCTCCGGCGGGGACGATTCTCGAGTCTGTAGCGAGTGGCCTCCCCGATTGGGGAGTCTGTAATTCCTCCCGCCCCGGCCGCCGGCGCGCTTCCTCGGGAGTCAGCTCGCTCAGGCTGACTCGCGAGTAAGCCGGCTGCCGATTTGGGACTTTCTTCCCAAACTTCCCTTTCTTGGGCGGCGGGGGGGGGGAGGGAGAGAACCCGCCACCCCCAAAGCGCATCGCCTCTCTTTCCAGCCGCTTGGCCAGACTCCTGGCCCCCTCCCCCCGCGGCGATCCACGAAGCACTTGGTCGGGGGAGCCTTTGCCTTTACCTATCAGAAG